CCGGGCTTTTTTTTCAAAAGGCGGGGACCCGCCATTTTTAAATCCGCGCTGGTTCGAACCCCGTGTAGCGTGGCTACACGGGGCTCGAACTAGGTAGTTCGGACTAGGTTCCTATTAGGAATCCTATTAGGAATCCTAGTCCGAACTACCTAGTTCGAGCCCCGTGTAGCCGTGCTACATGGGGTTCGAAACAGCGGGGATTTAAAAATGGCGGCTCCCCGCTTATGCAAATGAAGCCCGGGAAATTCAAATCCCAGACTTCATTTGCAAGTGCGGTATGCCTACATTACCCCCCTAGTTCGAACTAGGAGGGTAGTATAGACATACCCTCTGAGAGCAGCCAGACTGTCCCTTTCCTCCCAGAAGACTTGTGCCTGCCTCAGACACCAGGCTCCAGGAGTTCTGCAACCCAAAGTGGGTATTCACCCATGTAAGTTTATGTGCCAATAAATTGGTTAGTCTTTAAGGTGCCCCAGGACTACTGTTTGTTTTTGCAGACACAGACTAACATGGCTACCCCTCCAATGCTGATCTTTCCCTTTGTGGCTCTCAGATGTTACAAGTGCAAAAGTGAAATGAAATACAAAGGACTGAAATGTGTGATGCTCACTCACATGAATACTTAGTTCTCTGAAGTCAATGGAGCTACTAGCATGCACTAGAGGTCACCAGGGTGAGGAAAAGTTCTACACTGAGGCTACTATTCAGAGTGACTGTAGGAAAATGCCATTTCCCTCATGGACTGGATGAATGACTTGATCTAAACCCTTGTGGGAACTTCTTCTAGCCACTGACAGTGTTAAATATTTTGATCTATGCCACACTAGATCCCTTTTCTTTTGAATTGGGGAACTTGATGAGTTGGAGGTCGGATCTTGATGAGGATCTCCTGGTTCATTAAGCTGCAACTTTATACATACTATATGCATACAGTCTCTCTCTATAATTCACTTCATAAATTCTCTCATTCATTCCAATAAGACTATTCATTATGTACTTATGTAGTGTTTAGCATGACAGGGCCTAGCCCCTTAAGAGAGAGGAGTACAGGATCTTTCAAAAAAGGTTTGTTTGTTTTTTTAAAAAAGAACTGCATCTACACGGTGGTTTCACTTTCAGAATACCCATTTTCGAAAGAACGCGCGGCCGCCATTATGCAAATGAAGCATGGGGAATTCAAATCCTGGCTTCATTTGCAATTTCGATTTTTCTAATTTACATCCCTCTTTCGAAAGAGGGATGTAGTTTAGACATACCCGTTCTTAGCTTGTGTTTTAAAAACAACTACCTTCTAATGATGGGATTCCACTTCTTCCCACACTTATTTTTATAGCTAGAAAGATGTTATGAATATCTAACATAATGCTCTCCCTCTGTGAACTGAGCTGATAACTTCTTGTCCTACCCCAGGAGGACATGTGGAACAATCAATAACGTTCTCCTTTGTAGTTAAACGTGACATGTCTGAAGACTGTCATCGTGTCCTCCTCTATCTATTCAGGAGGATAACAGTCCCCCTTAGAAGCCCTCACACAAGCCCTACACAGGGTCATTCCCCAGCATCACATGCCTAACAATCAGCATGTGTAAGGGCCTAGGCAGATGTGTCACTTGATAATTCCCAAAATCCTTCCATCCAAAGGAATTAAAGATCGATTTATTCAGTGACAACTTTGCCACCACCCTACTTAAATTCTGATAAAACTTACTGCATAGCCCATTGTCACAAGCATCAGGGCAATCGCCACACGGTGTCCCTGATTTGTACGGTGTTTTTATTAAGTTTGCGATGTTCTCCCTGAAACATTAAAATGAAAGAGAATAAGATGTAAAGCCAGCATGCAGCAAATGTCTTTTATTATGCTTGGGGACATTTGCACTGCAGTCTCTGAGGTGATTTACAGAACAGCCTGATGCAGGGTTTACTGCACCTTCCTCTGAAGTAGCCGTGCTGGTCATTCTCTTCAGGATGCCACATAAGCACTTCCACATATCGTAAGAAATCTCCTCTCACCATATAATCCAACAAGTGAGAATTTCAAAGCAGAGCAAAGTCTGGCCCAAAACTTCCGACACATCTATTAGTGACACATTGACATATGAAATATTTGTGTGACACGTACCATACTATGAGGGTGGGGGGAGGTGTACACTGCAGCCTGGGGTGTGATTGCAGCTCTTTTAGATGTACCTGTGCTTGTTTTATACTAGCTTAGCTTGCAATAAAAAGCAATGAGTGTAGGTACAACAGGCATCAGCCCAAGCCATACAATCCTGTCTGACCACTCAACACCCATATTGGCTTGTGCAGCCTATGCTGAAAACAGCCCCATAGGATACTCGCTATTTTAGCATGGTAGGGAGATCACAGCTAGGGAAGGGATGTCTATGGGTATGTCTACACTACCCTCCTAGTTCGAACTAGGAGGGTAGTGTAGACATACCCATAGACATCCCTTCCCTAGCTGTGATCTCCCTACCATGCTAAAATAGCGAGTATCCTATGGGGCTGTTTTCAGCATAGGCTGCACAAGCCAATATGGGTGTTGAGTGGTCAGACATGTTTGTATGGCTTGGGCTGATGCCTGTTGTACCTACACTCATTGCTTTTTATTGCAAGCTAAGCTAGTATAAAACAAGCACAGGTACATCTAAAAGAGCTGCAATCACACCCCAGGCTGCAGTGTACACCTCCCCCCACCCTCATAGTATGGTACGTGTCACACAAATATTTCATATGTCAATGTGTCACTAATAGATGTGTCGGAAGTTTTGGGCCAGACTTTGCTCTGCTTTGAAATTCTCACTTGTTGGATTATATGGTGAGAGGAGATTTCTTACGATATGTGGAAGTGCTTATGTGGCATCCTGAAGAGAATGACCAGCACGGCTACTTCAGAGGAAGGTGCAGTAAACCCTGCATCAGGCTGTTATTAAGTAGCATGCCCTAGGGAAAGTTTCCTGTAAATCCCTAGGAGTTGGAAATATGGGGATCTCCTTTTCAGTTACGCAATGGTTAAGAAAAGGAAAGCATATCTGACTGGTCAATTATTGGGGGTTTTGTGAGTTATTTAATTTCAGAACGCAGATTCCATGTGCTCATCTGCATAACATTATTACTAAATTGCTGCTTTGACTCTAACCCCACTTAAAAATTATGCCACATACTGCAGTGTAGCTGAAAGTTTCTAAGGTCATTTCAATGAATTAAAGCACTAAGGAATTCCAATAATCAATGAAACCCATTGTTAATACGTACACAGGGCAGTAATGGCAAACGTAAAAGTAGTTGTATTTACTCTCAGGACAATAAGCAACCGCACATCCAATTTCGTACGACTTGTACAAAATCATCTGGAAATAGAAGAATAAATACATGAGTGAATATGAAGGCCTCTATAGTTTAACACAATAAAATACACATTTTAAAAACATTTTACTGTGAAGTTAAGATTTGGGCACAGTATCTTATTACACATATAGCAGCCTAAAAGTTGCATCTTATAGAAAAGAAACTATAAAACCTATAGGCTATGTCTAGACTGCATCCTTTTTCCGTAAAAGGGATGCAAATTAGACACATTGCAATTGCAAATGAAGCAGGGATTTAAATCCCCCCCACTTCATTTGCATAAACATGGCTGCTGCTTTTTTCCGGCTCGGGGCTTTGCTGGAGAAAAGCGCCAGTCTAGACACGGATCTTTCAGAAAATAAAGCCTTTTCCGAAAGATCCCTTATTCCTCTTAAAAAAAGGAATTTTTATTTAAATGCCGCGGGGCATATTTAAATCCCCCGCGGATTTCCCTACGACGACTGGTGAAATTTACATGCCCCTTCCGGAAAAGGGGCCAGTGTAGACGAGCCCGTAGTGTTTATTCCCTTTAAATGTGTTGTGGCTGTTATTTCTCCTACCCCTTGTAATCATTAAGCTAAACATGCATCTGTTGAAATATGAAAGGTAACAAGAGAGGCTATGGTGCCTACCTGAGTATATTGGTCAATCGCTGCTCCTGGTACAATTTGCTCAGCGCCATATAAGAAATTTGCCACTTTCTTGTACCAGCCTTGAATGGCATTTGACCAAGGAATGGGTGTATTTGACATGTAAAGATTTTCACCACAGCCCACTGCAAAATGGAAAGAAAACTATTCAGAAAAACTGATGAGAAGGGGTTAAAAAGATGCAAGAACTTTAGCACATGGGAAGGTCCAGCAAAAGATTTAGGAATTTCCAGGCGAATCAGTTGGGAAGAATTTGTTTCATTTCCTGCATACCCCACCTGCCCTTTGCCTCTTTCCAGTTCACAAGTGAATAGCATTGGGTAAATCTCAAAAGATCAAAGGTTATCTTTGGCCCTACGGCAGCAATAAAGTAGCAGAGCCCAGATCCACCAAAATGCTAAGGGATCCCAAAAGCTATGAAATACACCCATGGAAGTCAGTGGACCCACCAGTATAAAACCAAAGTGGTTCAGAATCAAAGCCTACATTTGGATCTGGATGAAAACTTTTTCATTTATCAGGATTGTTTTAGGTCCAGTCTTAATTAGTCAGCCAGTGTAAATCACCCTAATGAAAAGTGATTTATTGTCAAGCACAGTATTTTTCACATCATTAGACATGTTTTCAGATAAAGCATGGGAGAAAGGAAATAACAGGGAGAATAATCTAAAAAAAGAAGTTTTCCCATTTTCCCAAAAGTTAACCATTGTGTAATTTCATGGAATTTTTCAATTAGTTCTTTAACAGTGTTCTCAAAGTGTTGCTCAACTCTAAATATGATGAAATCTTATTGCACAGTACATGCATCTATGTATTCTAGAAAAGTAAATGTTATCTGTTCTCCAAAAATATTAATACCACTTAGATATGAATGGAGTGATAGTATCTAAAAAGTGTTAATATAAATTGATGAATGATTAATTATTTCGTTCCAATGGATACTTTACTTACTAGGTTTTCTTCTGTCTTGGAGGCTGCTAGTAAAAGTGCACTGATTTGCCCAACTGTTGGCAAACTCTGCAGCAGCAGCATTCCATTCCTTAGTGAAATGAGAAACATTAGCTGTTCAGATGAGTACCTCTTAGAAAGGGAACATACACTTGGAAACTGCATTGTCAGAATTAAACATTTCCTGAGAATTCCTTCTGCCTGATTTGGACAATAAAAGGAGGAGCTGCTTTATGGTGGCATGGCTTAGGAGGAGACTAGATATCATGGGTTATGTCTACACAACAACTTTATTTTGAAATAACTAGAGTTATTTGGAAATAACACAGTCCACGTTTACACAGCCGGCAGTTATTTCGACATTATGTCTTCTGGAGGACTTCTTACTCCGACTCCTGTAACCCTCATTTTATTATGAGGAATAAAATAAGTCAGAGGAAGAGTGCTATATTTCAAAAAAAGTGCTGTGTAGACAGCACCAAAACTTGAAATAAGCTATTTTGAAATACTGCATAGCTTATTTCAAAATTCGAGTTAAACCTTGTTGTGTAGACACGCCCATGGTGATTAACTCCATGGAGAACATCAAAAGACAACCTGGCAGACCACAGATAATGGTTTTTCCCTTCATGGCCAAAAGAGACATCATTGTTCATGAGCAGCAAGAATTGTCATATCCAATTTGCTCTCCTCCCTGCATAACTGCTCTGTTGGATAACATCTTATTGGGACAAGGATTCACAGGATCTTCTGTAACTTAAATGCTGTGCTCTTGCAAGTTCTCTCATGACATTAGAAGGCTCTGTGTATATCATTGATTTCCTGGCAAAATGCATCTTACCATCTTCAGCATGTTGCTAGCAGTTGGCCTCACCCATCTCCTTATGGAGTTGTGCGTGTCAACAATCTCCTTTTGTTGTTCAGCCTTGTCAGTTGACAGGGCAGCAAAATCTGGTCTCTAAATTAAGGAAATATACAACAGTTATCATTGAAATTGGCTGTGTGAGTCTAAAATATTTTGTACATGTACTATGAAACAATTCCAAATAATGTGTCTTCATGAACATCAGCTCATAAAATATTTAGTCAATTTCATTAAAATTAATCTATTAGGCATCGATTAATTATGAGTTAGTGTGATATATTTATTCTATATTATGTAGCAACTTATTTCTATGTGATTCAAGTGTAATCATTTTGACAATGAAAAACTGCTGCTATTATTTAATATTTGGGCTTGTTAAGATTGCCAGCTTCTTTTAAATATATTGAGACAAATTCAATCCTTGTAAAGACAGGATTGGCTCTGCCTTACCTATTTATTTAATTGCATCGTGGTTGCAAGATTTGGCCTTTAGTCAGTGTTGGACACTTATGCCATTTTGGTGCTTTAGGGACTCAATGTTTTGCAGTTTCACTTTCCCACCTGAAAAAAATGACCAGCCAAAATGGAGAGTTTTGAAATTCCTGAAGTGTAATGTTTTATCTCATGGGAACAAATGTTTTCTTTTTTCAGATTTTCAGTTTGCAAAACTATTTGAAATTTTAACCTTTTGTCATTTTTTATCAACTCTCACCGGATTGGAACCATATTCCTCACCCAGCTCTCATCTTACCTGTCCAGTGGTTTGCTGCAACACAGCAACCAGGCCCAAGAATGCAGTGAGCAGAATCATCTCTGAAAAGGGAAGAACAACCTGCTTAGTTCTCTGTGTATTTGAACACATTGCAGAAGAAGTATTCTGCTATATGCTGTAGAAGTCTAGGTTTTTCTCAATTGGGAAGCGGAGGGAGGGAGGGAGGCATATGCTGTATTAGCAGGAGATATCCACTGATGATCAGGCAAAGTTGTTTTGTGTAGATTATACTTACAGGAAAGTTCAAGAAATTAAATATATGTAATCGAATTTTGTATTAATGTGCTTGCAAAAGAGAAGTAAAAGAACAGTTTTAAATTTGTAGCATTGCAACTTCAAACATTATTCATTTTATTGAATAACTAGCTGGACTTACCCGGCATTGCCTGGGCAACCGGAGGAACAAAATTTAAAAAAACAGAAGCTGGTGCTAACATCCTGCAGCCACACCGCAGCTGCCAGTGCATTATGGTAGACTCCCATACTTTTCTACTGCTTCATAATGCAAAATTTCTGACTCAAAAAAGAGGCATTGCAATGTTAAGAATCAGAGCTATTTGACTTGGCAAACTTAGGGTATGTCTACACAACAGCGCTAGTTCGAACTAACTTAGTTCGAAATAGTTAATTCGAACTAAGCTAATTCGAACTAACGCATCCAGACTAAAAAACTAGTTCGAATTAGCGTTTTGCTAATTCGAAATAGCATGTCCACATTAAGTGGACCCTGAACTGGGGTTAAGGATGGCTGGAAGCAGTGCCGGCAGGGCATCAGATGAGGACTTAGAGCGTGGAGCTGCTGCCTCAGGCTAGCCGAGGGCTGTGCTTAAAGGGACCCAACCCCCACCCCGGACACACAGTTCTCAGGGGTGCCCCGCTTGCAAAGCAATCCTGTCTTGGAGTGCCTTAAGTGACATTAAGTGGACCCTGAACTGGGGTTAAGGATGGCTGGAAGCAGTGCCGGCAGGGCATCAGATGAGGACTTAGAGCGTGGAGCTGCTGCCTCAGGCTAGCCGAGGGCTGTGCTTAAAGGGACCCAACCCCCACCCCGGACACACAGTTCTCAGGGGTGCCCCGCTTGCAAAGCAATCCTGTCTTGGAGTGCCTTAAGTGCCACACGGGGCACATCACAGCACTCGGCCATCAGAC